AACAGGGACATCCAAGGCTATCAAGTCCATCACTGAAGATGGCGAAATTCCGAAACACAATTGAACATTCAACTAGCATAAAACTACTGGTTACCCCTTTTCCTGGGACAGTTAGACCATATGATCGGATATTAATAAACTATATGTATATAATAATTATTAAATATTAAATTAAAAATTGGCTTCAAATAAAGAAATAAATGAGGACGATGTGTAATCCCTGCCATGAATGTAACTTCGTGAAACATACACAAATGCTGCAAACTCTTAACACCAATAACGCAACTAAATTTTGACAGTATTTTCCTATAACAGTGCCGTTCATAAACTGTTATAATTTTAAAAGATTACCCTTACCCGTTATACCTAACCTCTAGCACAGCTTTCCAGTATGACTTGATGATCCGTGATCTCTCCTATTTTGAAAATTATTATTACTGTCAAATGTGACTTGTTAGACTGCAAATAAGACACAAATTGCTGTAATTTTTAAGTGACCATTAATGAAGATGAAATGCCGAAAGTTTTCTTACAGAAAAAAAGGGTAGAGGCCGGGAAATGTTCATACAACAGAGTTCGACCATAAAACATTCATAGACAAAATTAAGTTAAATTTTAATTAATCTATTTATGTTTAATGGTCTAATTGACCAAACTACTTTTTTCAATTAATTATTCTTTGTATGTAAGGTCTTGGTTGAGATGAAAAAGTTAATGTCACGAATGGGATTCCAACCCACTGACTTCGGCTATTCTAATCCCGCTCGTAACACTAACTTTTTCATCTCAACCGAGGCCTTACATAAAAAGAATGATTAACTTAAATTTTAAAATAATTAGGTTTATTTATATTTTTCAGATCAAAAATTGGGTTGGCCTGCCATTTTCTGAGGTGTGGTAAGAAGAGGTTCACGAGCCGGTGCCGGGCCCTGGGGATGTTTTCATTGAGCCTGTTTGTTCTGGAGGAAATGGTACCATTTAGGACGTGTCCTATCAGATTTCTTATCTCAATTCCCATAATGCTGCGGTTTCGTAGAGCCTGATGACGGATGAATTTGTTGTCTCTCTCTTCCGTAGACCTAGGACCTAGAATCAAGACCCGTTTCTCTGAAGCACCGAAGAAACCCTACTGTAGAGTGATTCACATTGGTCTTCTGGCGATTCGCGCTGACTGTATCCTTCCTTTAATAATGTAATGACCCTGACACTATCATACTCAAATGATTGATTGGAGCCATTGAAAAAAGTTTAAGAATAAGAATAGTATCAAATGAAATCATCAAAGGAAAATGATTAACTAAAAGCGATATTTTGGCCTAGCAGAATGGAAGGGCATAATGTTCCTTTTTATGTGTGGGATTAGTCAGTACAAAAGTAAATAAAGGATGTAAATAAACCTTTATTTACTGTTTATTTTGATTACGTTAGCTCTTAATTATTAAGGGAAAACATAATAGATTTAATTTTATTTAAAAAAAATTGAGAGGTGCGTAAAATTTGTCCTTCAGAGTAGTTTAGTTCAAATCCTAGTTACTGGCAGAGGTTTAAAGATGTGCTACAACCGCTCCTTCACAGTCAAAAGAGTCATTATTTGCAGAAATGGCCGCTAAAGTTTTATTAACAATAAACTGCATAATTGACCATATATTGGAACCATTGAACAACGTTTAAGAATAAGAATAGTATCAAATGAAATCAGCATAGGAAAAAGATTGTCCGATATTTTGGCCTAGCAGAATGGAAGGGCATAATGCTCCTTTTGATGCATGGAATCAATCAGTACAAAAGTAAATAAAGGATGTAAACAAACCATTATTTACTGTTTAATATGTTGACGATAGCTCGTAATTACTAAGGAAAATAATAGGTTTAATTTTATTCTAAATAAATTGAGAGGTGCGTAAAATTTGTCCATCAGAATAGTTTATTTCAAATCCTTGTTACTGACACAGCTTTAGAGAATGTACTGCAACCGCTCCTTCACATTCAAAAGAGTCATTATTTGCAGAACTGGCTGTTAAAGTTTTATTAACAATAAAACTGCATAATTGACCATAAATTAACACGGCTCAGCACATAATGGTAACAAAATCACATGTGCAAAGTGAATTTCTTTGCATGAGCTGTTGTTGAGAGTGAGGAGCAATGTCTGAGTATTTTAAGCGAAGGCTACTATTTGAGAGCTAGAGCGCGTATGCGAGTAGTACTGAAATAGTACGGAGGGAGGCACGAGAGCTGCTCCAGTGTAAAGAGGCCAATTTTAAACTGCCCAGTCATAAATACTTCCTCAGTACCCACTGTGTCATTGTCTCCTCGTTAACTCTCTAATAGTCACGTAAATACGTCCGAGGATAAATTGAAACGGCCGGCCTTTATGATAAACAACTAAAATCTCTCCTTCTGGCCCTTCGAAATAAATTCGAATGAGATGAGACGCAATATGAAATCAATGAATGAACCGGCCAGAGATGCTGGGATCTTCGGCATTGAAGCTTTAAAAAGTTGCATCCACAATCTTTGGCCTTGTCTGTTTGTCTAAAACGCAAAAAGAATGTTAAAATTAATAAAATAACAATGTAATGCAATATTATTACTTTTAACATTTTTCAATGAAATAAGAAATGACATTGGTTTATTCGCCGTCAAAAATCATTTTTGTTTCGATGTCATTCAGCAAGTTCGCGGTGTCATATATATTTTTTACTAGGTTGATCGTCAAATATTATTACCATGTATGAATGCTATATGTGTTCACTTATAAACGTAATAATAAATTGATCTAGGTGATAAGGCGGGTGAGGCAGGACAATAAAACCCACCACAGTGGTTTTAATAATAATGTGTCAGTGAAGACATACAAATATATTCGAACCCTACGAGTTTACTGTTTGTATTCCTACTATCTTGGTTAGTTTAGTCAGTAGCGTTTCTCAATTCGGCCAAGTTCTGTAAAGGCTGTTGTCCTGCCTCTCCATACTTATTCCCTTATCAAATGGTTAAATGTCAATCGTGTCTGACAGATGAAATTGTCGAGGATTAGATATGACCCAACTTCAGGTCATCATTCCATAGAAATCAACGAGAAATCCCACAAATGTAGCCCTAATTTGGTAAAGTTGTTGGTTTCAACCGTCCGGGATGTAAGGAGGGATTTGAAGGCTATAAGAGCTCATTTACTAACATAATAATAAATTGGTATAGGATATAAGCTGGGTAAGGTAGGATAACCAAACCCACCACTTTGGGCGTAATAAAAATGTTGCAATGGAGTCATACAATTATATTCTTATTCAGTGTATTAGAAATGTTTACTATGTTTGTAGTTTATCCTACCATTTTGGTATGTTTTGTCAGTAGTGTTTCTCAATTGGGCCAAGTTCAGTGGTTTTTGTTCCTTGCCTCACCCTGCTTATACCCTTACCAACCACTCAAAATGGTGAACTGTCATAAACCCGAAGACCTAAGAGAAATCCCATATTGAAAAAAATTTCTGATATGCCTTAGCGAATAAGAGAGATTTATTCGAACTAATTCGGTCAATTTGTTGGTTTGATTTATCAGAGGTGTAAGCAGGGCCGTTTCCGATCCTCGTTGCTTTTGTCTGTAAATCGCGTTCCGTCATTTTCTAATTTTGAAAGCAAGGGATGTAAGCAGGAATAGGTAAGACAATTAAACGATGATTATGGATGATGCTGAAATGTTCTAACAGAAAGGCAAACGTTCTAATATAATATGTCTACATTCGAGTGAATTATATGACTTTAATGAAGACTTCCACATTATAAAGGTACAGCCCAGAATTTCTAGTCCTTTTCCTTAAACTAACTTACCAAAAAAAATGCAAGTCATAGACAGGGATATGTCTCCAGGTAGAAATATCTGAAACGGCCAAAATCAACCAGCATACCCCAAATATTTTTAGTTAGGAAAATTATAGAACATGGCTGGCATATTACCTAATGGACACTGTACCTAATGACCCACATGAGTGATTCGTGATCCAACTCAGTTCTTGACGATTGAAATATAAATTATCTTGGCTCTAACAAACACTGCAAACATGACACAAATTGCAGCAATGTCTCTTACCTCTAATGAACCAAATGCATTTCTTTTTCAAAAGCAGGGAGAGCCCAGGCTGTCCAAACTAACTCAGTAGATAGCAAAACGCCTGAACATGGATCTAGAACAAACTACCAAAAATAGGTAGATCAGGATGATCCGAAAGTACACCACGATGTGTATTTAATAACTATTAACTGTCTTGGTAGTTAGCACATAGTGAAGTAATTAATGACTTAAAGAGAATAGCAAAAATAGCGGATGAGATGAACGGAAATGACCAAATTAAGGTTTTACACCTCGCGGAACTCATGAAGGAAACTCACGTTTCATTAATAAATAATTTAATTTTAGGATCTATAGTAATAGATACAATAATCAGCATAATGATTTCGGGGCGTCGTCGGAAGCCGAAAACGTGAGATCGTCGACAGGGCAACTCATCACTGGAATATCAAAAGTTCAGAATCGCATCTCTGCGCACCTGAATTCAAATCAAAAATACTTCGAAGTGTTATTTATTTTGTTTTTCAAAGGAAAAACACCGGAACTCTAAGGTTGTTATATTCTGCATTTCCGCACTCCCGTAAAAAAATATATAAAAACCTGATTAACTAGCATCATAACATACGATTATTGTCCTCAACAATCAAGTTAATAGTTACTATTATTTATTATATACATTTCTATGAAAATAGGGTTTTCCTTGTTAAACAATAACAATACATTTGTCAACATTTGCAAAACGCCATGGCGAGAGGAGTAACAAGTATATAGAACAGAAAATTTTCTTTTTTATCATGACCATGCTTACAAATCAGTCGGTTAAATTCTTAAAATAGAACATGGTTTCGCATGCGACAAAAAGTACTTACAATAAAATATTAACATAATCGATAGATATAATATGGAATGTAGATTAGCGGTCAAAGACATACCTGCCTCACTACACTTCCAGAACTGTCAGAAAAGCTGCCTTCGCCAGATCTTCTATTATATTTCTTCTGCTTGCTCACTCTCGACTGTTAACAAAAAAGACAACAAGCATTATAATAATTATTTACTGTAACCAAAATGAAATTGAATTTTTTGTATCAATGAACAGCATTTACTATTTATACTTTATTTTATAATCAATTATATTGGTTGACCAGATTGAAACAAGTAAAATGTTCAGGTACCATTTTAAAAAATTAGTGCTTATTTTTGTAAAAATTTGTCTAACCAAATAAATAAAAAAATAAAAAATACCACAGCTGGGTCTGTTAGTTTGATCATATCTTATCGCTCAATGAAAACTTATTTTATATCAATTTTAATAGACCAAGCTGTGACAGAGTTGAAGAAATTAAAAACCAAATTGTACATATAACAGACACGTTGAAGATGGCGAAAAGCTGAAACTCGTCCTCAGACTAATCCAGCGAGGATAGACACATCAAAATGATCAGTAGCGACTAAATTGAAGCATTTTCACCCCGTATACAGACTGAAAAATCTCACAAAATTGTAAATATGATTTGGCTGAGAACAATGATTTTTCATTAAAAAATAGATTTTTTTTTAACCCGCAGGCATGATTCAGAACACAAAACATTTCTAGAAAACCTGACTTTTTACACAAACCAACGTTTTTTCCCAAATTTTATTATACATTTTTTTATTAATTAAATTTATTTATTATATTATAATTTATTATATTAATAAAAAAATCAAAATATCAAAATAAAAATATTTATTCTTAAATTTGTAAAACAAAAATTTATTTTGACAATAATAAGCTCAATTTGTTTGCTAATATACATATTTGTTCATTAATCAATTAATTATACACATATTTATTTAGAAATCGTGAGATGCGGTTTGGTGTGATGTAGGTTTCAGAAAAACATTTTATTTATCGTGCCAACTTTTCGATCTTTATTGAAATCATTTTCAGGGCTCAAAGTGTTTGTCTTCTGTGTAATTATGCCATTCTTGCGGCATTCTCGACACGACACGCAAGAATGGCACAATTACACAGAAGACAAACACTTTGAGCCCTGAAGATGATCTCAATAAAGATCGAAACGTTGGCACGATAAAGAAAATGTTTTTCTGAAACCTACATCACACCAAACCGCACCTCACGATTTCTAAATAAATATCGATTAACGGCCACTAATCACCACACATAATTATACACAATTTTTTTCGAGTTGAAAAATTTGTGTCACAGGCCTGGATTCTAACACACGACTTTCGGTTAAATACGTTTCGGCTAAATAATTTTTCATTTAAAAAAAATTGTGTATAATTAATTAAGTAATTATATAATTGAGCTGATAAAAATAATTAAAAGTTAGTATTATTTGTTCATGTTTTCCACATAAAAATATTATTTTATTATCAAACGAGACTTTCTTGTATCCATTAATGCATTTCCATTAAAGCTTCTTCTTCCAATCAACAGAATTGTTTATAATTTTTTTTTAGTTAAAAAAACACTACTTTTTATAGGTCCATCACGTAAAATATGTCATAAAAGTATTATACTAGGAAGACAATTTGATTTATTTAATGATGCTTAATTCTTCCAAGTGGGTTGAATTGTTTATTCATATAAATAAAATGTGTAGGCTTGATTATTTATTGTCAACTGTTTGTAATAGGAATTAGTATAATCAGATCTGTACAAATATCATAGTGAACAATTAAAAAACTTAAAAATGACTGCTTTATAGATAATTTATTGAAAATTAATTATCTGTTTACCAGATCAGAATTATTCAAAGCCTAACTAATATGTCAATTTCCTGACTTAATTTTTTTTCTATTTCTCTTTTAATCACATATGTTTTCCTTCTAATTACCATTTTTTAATTATAGTTTTAAGAATTGGTCCAAATTTTTAACTTTTGGCTCCCTTGGGGAAAATGACTTATACAATTTTAGCCAAGGAATCGTAGTGAGAGCAGAGTTAACAATAACAAACAGTCTGCATTACAAAAGCACTTTGACCATAGATAACTGCGTGGAATGACACTTTTGACAGGAAAGCATCATGGCGGACGATGTAATCTCATCACCTGCCTTTTCGCTTTGTCCCTCCAGGTACGGAACTATTCAAAACGCATACTATTGTAAGTTCAAATCGTAAGCTTTACCTGCACATGCTCTTTGCTCTCCACATTTAGTTTTTTTTTTACTCTCGCCCCATGTGACCACCCTATAATAACTTATGCCAACTCCTGGAGACAGGTGGGTTTCGTTCGGGTACCTGAACCCACAAAGCCACCCCTACCGAGGGGTTATGACGGTTTTCTTAATACTTTAATGACTATCCAATAATTTGGACTTTTTGTGATTCGGAACAATTTCCTCGGGGGCGATAAACGTCGTTTATACACACGCTAACTTCTGTGCTGCGGCAAGAACGGTGGCACTAATTATCCTTTTTAAAGTAGAGCTTTTGTTGTACCAAAATTAAACTGCTATTTCCTAGGACTTTTCCATTCTAGACAATTAGGAACATCCTCAAACTAGTTCCACATGGAGTTTCAAAGTTTTTTCTGCACATAAGCTTAATTAGGTGTTTATAAGAATAGAAGCTACAAGAAACTAGAAGAAAACGTGATTCTTGACAGTAAAGGTCTAACGTACAATTACCCTAATAAGAAAATTTATTAAAATGATGATAATATCGGACGTTCCATAAAAACTAAACTCTTATTTCTTCGGGCTTTTCCGTTTTAGAAAATGAGAAACATCTTTAAATTAGTAATGCGAAATTTCAATGTTTTTGCTGCACCGTGATATCAGAATATAAACTCAAGAAATATAAAAAATAATTATAAATAAATATTTATTTAGAAATCGTGAGATGCGGTCTGGTGTGATGTAGGCTTCAGAAAAACATTTTCTTTATCGTGCCAACGTTTCGATCTTTATCGAGATCATCTTCAAAGCCTGGGATTTACAAACATTGTTTACATATAACAATTACATTTTGGGTGTGGAAAAGTGAATTTATGCAATGAAAAATATATTTTTTATATATTCAATCAAAGTATTTCTACTCACTCAAAGTGTTTGTCTTCTGTGTAATTGTGCCATTCTTGCGAATAATATAAATAAAATACATAAATATAAAAAATAAATTATTATCTGTTCCATTCATTCATTATTCATCAATAAAAAATAATTGTTTAAAAATTTATAAGCAAACTAGTCTAATTCTCTTTGAAAGTCCAAAGAAATCCAAAGAAAAACTAAATTTAAATTGACAAGACAATATAATTGCTTAGAAAGATAGTTTCTTCAAATTGCTAATTTAATCGCAATTGTGAGTCAATTTAAAGGACCAAAATATGCCCCCTTTGAATTAAAGATAAATTATTTCGAAATTTGAGAATTAAACCTTGTGTAAAGGGTAGAATGCCTTTCAGCTTCCAGCTAATGCCAGACCCGATCGAAAGCCAGTTCCATACCGAGAAAGGTCCACGAACAAGCACTTCATCAACTTGAGAAAAATTCAATGAGTATATCAATTCAATAGTTGAAAACGATAGTTCTACTTACAACCTGTTTTTGGATGTTATGCCAGTTTAACATCCAGATATCCGGATATCTGCCAAAAATATTTTGTTATTATATATTACAAGAGGGCACTGTTGTATAATAGAATGGCGTCTATGGAAAATTAGAAATAGCCTTGAACTAGTATATTATTAGATTTATTATATATACAATCTAGATGAACAAAGCATATCCAGTCATAATTGTGCGTCAATTTAATCTTTACAAAAATCCCCATGTGAATAAAAGCTAAATATTTTCGGGTTGCTGCTCTTTATTATACGTGGCCCCCCCCCGTTGGTTTTATGTTTCATATTTTCATAGACATTGGCCCTAGAGCAATAAAACGGAGATAAACTCTTTTGAAGGTGGGCCAGATATAAAGGGGAAAAAAGAAATAAATTAAACCGAGGTACGTTCATTAGCCTTGAGTTTCAGCTCTTAACCTTTCACTTTTAAAAAGAACACTTATATAATATAATATTAGTGCCTGTAGTAGTTTTCTAATTTAGACTGTGAGCTGGGATCGTCTGCTTATAGGGTGGACATGGAGCAATGTCAGTACGATGATCAAAGGAGATTTAGCACTGCATTGCAAACTTCATCAGCATGCACTAATTACACTTGTCAAGCCCTAAGTCAGAAACCTGTTTCCCAAGGAATCGAATAGTTTACATGAAGGTACGCAATGATAGTACAGAACACAATTAAAACTAAATCATTAAAAAAATGTGACACCAGTGAAAAAGAACATGGCAGAAAAATACTTCCTTCAGTATTGTTCTTAAAAAAATAATAGTAAATCTATCCAAACCAGCAATATACTCGTAATAATAATAGTAACCTACTACTTTTAAAACGATATTGTAATTTTTAAGATTATATTACCGAGCATTTAAACAATTTTTGACGTTTAAAATCATATTTTTATTAAGTTGAAATCTGTCCTTGTTTTGTTATTATAGCTTGTTATTCTCTCGACCAAACAATACAAGAAAATAAAATGAATATATTATTTAGATTTTTGTTATTTAAAAACTAACTGGTTTTTCTAGAATAAAGACTCTTTCTTTAAGTCTCTCTCTCTCTCTCTTCCTTTCTTTCTCTGTCTTTATCTGTCTGTATTATCAGTCTCTCTCTCTCTCTCTCTCTCTCTCTCATTCTCTCTCTCTTTCTCTCTCTCTCTCTCTCCCTCTCTTTCTATCTATCTATCTATCTATCTCTCTATCTATCTATCTATCTATCTAACTAGCTTTGGTGTGTGTGTGTGTATGTGCGAGTTACATTGCTATCATGAAAATAATAATATGAATGTGAATCAATAATTAAGTAAATCACACATAATTTACTTCCCTAAATTTTCACTGTTGAAGAATTTCAAGTGCAATTTGACTAAATAAAATCGACATAGTTTATATTTTTAATCCAAATTCGATATTCCGTTCGTTTTTCTTTACAATTTATT